TTTGGTTCTGTAATGAAAACCTCTTGGAAAGAATTCAATTAGGCTAGTATTGTTAGATACACTAAGAAAGAGAATTATTTATACTTTCTTTTCTTTCATTAGTGCAATTTCTACATCTGTGACCAACAAAATAATGCATAAAGTCAAATTGAACTGCAAAGTCAGCAGATCAGCCTTACCAGCATCTCCCGGAATCTCTAAACACGGTCGCTATGAGTTAGAACTAACTTGTCGGAACTTAACAACAGAAGCATTTTCTTCTACATTTCTTTATAGCAGGCTTAGTTTACAGTGGTGCTGCAATATATTTGTTGTTGTTGTTAGGTGCCTTCAAGTCTGTTTTGACTCAGTGACCTTGTGCATCTCAAAATGAAACAGTGCCTGGTCCTGTGCCTTCCTCACAATCATTGCTATATTTGAGACCATTGTTGCTGCGGCTGTGTCTGTCTGTCTCATTGGGCTTCTTCCTTTTTATTGCTGACCTACTTTACCAAATGTGTTCTTCTCCAGCAGCTGGTGCCTCCTGATAACATGTCCAAAGTTTGTGAGATATTGTGTCTCCATTATTGCTTTTAAGGTATATTTTGGCTGTACTTCTTCCAAGACAGATTTGTTTGTCTTCAGAGAAAGACAAAAACATAAATAACAGATGTTGATTTTTCTTCATTCTTTAGTCTTTCCCATTAAATGTCCAACTTTTACATGCATATGAGGTCATTGAAAATAATCATGACTTGGGTCAGGGTCATCTTATTTGCTCTTGAACACTTTAAAAAGATCTTATGTAACAGGTTTGCTCAATGCAATAAAGTCATTTGATTTCTTAACTGCTGCTTCCATAGACATATGATAGTGGATCCAAGAAAAATGAATGAATTCTTTGACAACTTCAATGTGTTCTCCATTGATCATGATGATGTTTATTGGTCCAATTGCAAAGATTTAAGCATGTGCTGTATTTAAATGGAGTTCCCACATGGCACAAATGGTTAAGCATTCAAATACTAACCAGAAAGTTTATGTGTCAAACCTACCAGATACAACTAAGAAGAAAAGTCTAGCAATCTGCTTCTAAAAGGTCACAACCTTAAAACCCCAACAGAGAACAGTGTACTCTGGCACTCATGGGGTCACAATGAGTCTGAATCACCTTGATGACAGCAGCAGCATATTGAAACAGTCTTCCAATTTTTATAGATTATACCTTCCAACTACCCTACAGATGTTTTTAAAAGTAACCCCTGTATTCATTCCTTCAACATATTGTGTGGTTGAACAGATACACATCATCATTGAATTAACGAATAGAGCAATTAAGAAACTTGCAGTGGTCAGCAGTGTAGAACTCAGATGTCATCTTGGGATTTTGTTACAATATGACTTACATTTTCTTCTTCAGACAACAAATTACCTTTCTGCCATATAAAACAGTAGGAAGAGCAAATCTTTTGCCTTAAATTAAATCTTCACCAGCAGTTTTCTAATCTCTTTGTATGCATTGTTGTTCTTGAATTGAGGATTTTATAGATGGTGTTTATTTTCTTAAATTAGATAGCTTTCATTTAGCATAGCTGATGCTGTGGTCAGGAGAATTATGAGCCTTGAATTATCCTATTAATTATAATGCAATCGCTCTGAACCCTGGTGAATGTTGGAATTGTCTGGGGAGCTTTTAAAAAATACTGGTACCTGGGCCCCACACCAGATCATCTCATTCAAAATCTCTAGTGTGAGGAGAGAATCACTGTTCTATCAGAATTTCTAGCTTGTTGAGATTTATATTTAGTGACCAACTTCCAATGAAACCTCTCCTTTATGATGTTCTTTTCCTAGGGTAAGAAGATGGCTCTCTGTACCAACAACATAACAGATTTTACAGTAAAGGAAATGGTTGGAAAGTCAGATGATTACACAAATTTGGTAGGTGCATTTGTATGCCAATCAACTATTATTCCTTCTGAAAGTAAGGGTTTCCGAGCAGCTTTATCATCACAGTCCATCATTCTGGCAGATACATTTTTAGGTAAGTTTTCTTTGGCTTACATATGCATGTATATATATATACTTATTTATTTCAAAATGATGTTACTGAAAAATTGTGACTGTATTGGTGTTTACCACAGATGATTAAGACCCACAGATAACTCTAAATTATGATTTTATTAACAGGACTAAAAGGTTCCCTACAACTGGGATCTATTAATGAATCTCAGTGAGTTTAAGAAACTTCCCAATTTAAATATTAACTCATATGTGAGATGACATTTTTCTAAAGAGTGGGTCTATATCTTTCAATTGATTGTTTAGGAATTTAAGAGGCAACATAGTTTTACAAACCAAGTTTAAAAAAAATCAAAACAGTATACAAACACATTCCAAATAATAATTTCTGACAAGAGTTCTCATCATCTTTTTTCTTATACCAGAAGTAAATCGGTGACAAGTAGCAAAGCTGAGAGTTCTATGATGTATTCCCCATTTCCCTTTTGCTTTTTTTTTTGTTGTTGTTCTGGAAGGTACAGGGAAGGTTTAAGAGGAATATTGGCTTGTAATTAGATTTTTTTAGGGATCAGTAACATTAAAATATCTAGGATAGGTGTTATAAGTCTGTGGTTTCAACAAGTTTTTGAGATGAAATGATTTCCATTGTGCGACCAGATTTGAGAATCATTGCCTAGATGCCAGAGGAATTTAGCTTAAGCTTTCAGCACGTTGGCCAGTTACAAGTTTTGCACCCTCAAAACTCTGGTGTCAGAAGCAATGGATGCCCATATTGCTTGCACTTTGGCTCTACCACCATTTTATCTATAAGAGATGGGACAAACATGCTTTTCTTGTGTTAAGCAAATTTTGAAGTTAGATTCTAGAAGTTATTACAGCCTTTAAATTTTTGTTTTATCAAATAATGTCTTTACTGAATGTGAGTAAATAAAGTTCTATTAGTAAAGTAGTATATATTCATTGGACAAAAGTCAGAGGTGAAGAATTTTAATAGTAGATTTTGAAATGTTAGAACTGGAAGAGACTTTAAACATAATCTAAATTACTGTAAACATTTTACATATTCAGAAAATAAGACCCAGGGAAGTGAAGTGACTAAAGCAAAATTAGAAAGCCAGAAAGTACAGTATTTCTCTTTCATCCTGGAAACTTTAGGAACATTTTATTGTTGCTTTAAATACATTGGTTTTATATAATGTTTCTGGTAAAATGACATTAATCAAAATAAAATTTTGTTCAGACATACAGAGACTAAATAACCCTAATTTTCCCATATTGCTTAATAGTTTCTTTTTTAATTGTCATCTAGGAGTGACAGTTGAGACAGCATTGCATAATATTAATATAAAAGAAGACATGTTCCCAGTTACACCAAGTCAAATACCAGATGTGCATTTCTTTTATAAGTAAGTGAAGATATCTCCTTTTATCATCTTTATTTTAAAATTCAAAAGGAACTTATGCATATATAGATTTTATTTCTTTTATGGATTGTGTGTTCTTAGCAACAGGAAAAGTATATGAAGGGGCATCAAAAAGTTCATGGAAAAAATCCATGTTTTCAAATTCCATTTTTCCATGAATTTTTTGAAGCTCCCTCCTGTTATTATGTCACCTCAGAGTGCCTAGTATAGCAGCTTTCTTTTTGTTGTTGTTAGGTGCCATCAAGTCCATTCATGGTGACCCTATTCACAACAGAAATAAACATTGCCACATCCCACACCATCCTCCCAATTGTTATGTTTGAGCCAATTGTTGCTGCCATATATCAGTCCACCTTAGTGGGACTCTTGTCTTTTTCACTGACCCTTCACTTTACCATGCATGAAGTCCATCTCCAGGGACTAGCCCTTCGTGACAACATATCCAAAATATGAGCTATAAAGTCTCATCATCTTCTCATCTAAGGAGCATTCTGTCTGTAATTCTTTCAAGACAGATTTATTTTTTTTCTTCTAGTAGCTTGTACTTGATAGAAAATCAGTAATTGGTTCTTAAATGAAAGATAGTAAAAAATAGGAAGTTTGGAATATTCTGAAAGCCTTATATAATTTTTCTCAAATATATATAAAAGCTTTTAAATTAGGCTATACAGTGACTTTATTGTCTGGGCAGTAATTGTAACTGGTAAACCAACATAGCAGCCTAACTAGATACTACCTGTTTCCTTTAAATTTTTTTTTTTTTTATTACTATGATAGCTATACATATTGATGACTGCTTATCACTTTCCTGAGAAAGTAATCAACTTTTCAAAGGCAATGAAATAAAATGAGCTCAATTTTATTACACTTATAAATTAGTGAACTTTAATGATTTTATCATTGACTCCTACAACATAATAACAATTGCATGTACAATATTTTTTGTCTTTGTGATCTGTGTCCTATCTGTTTTGTGAAATATCCTCTGCCTTACAATAGGTCTTCTACAGCTACCACATCTTGTACTAATGGTCGGTCAACTGCTGTGAAAATGAGGTGTAACCCTAATAAACCTGGAGCAGGAATGATTTCAGTCCCCAGGTATTCTTATGTGTATATGGTTATTCCATACTTATTATAAAGATGCCCAGAATTTTATATTATTTTCAAGCATTAACTTTTATGCATGTAAGAATTTATAGGTTTTTGTTGGAGGGATATGCTACATTTCTATTAACAAGGATTGATCCTTTCTCAATCACAATACTTCCCAGCCTCCTTAATGACATTTTCTCATCTTGTTGGTCTCAAGAGTCCAATTTTCTTGAAAATTGTTCAAGTAATACTCAATTAACTATAATAATTTGTATTCTTGTATGTATTCTTACTGTTTAGCCTTCATTTCTTTGAGACCTGGACTAGGACTTTCTTGAGCTACCATACTGGATCTACAGTAGATAGCTGGGTTATCTAGACTAAGTAGTCTAATGTCTGAGTCATAGTTTCTCTATAAGGAGAGGGGAGGGAATCCAGGGTAGATAATTTGTGTGATTTATTTCTAACTCTTCAGTTTTCTGATTAATGGTGTTGGAATTAGTAGACAGCTCATCTAATTGATTGTGATTGAGGCAACAAGTCTCCACAGTCTAGATGTGATGAATGTGGTCTAATATAGGTCAATGAAAAAGAGGAAGACCTCCAATGAGATGGATTGACACAGTGGTAACATCAATGGGCTCAAATGTAACAATAACTGTGAAAATGGTGCAGGACCAGGCACTGTTTCATTCTGTTGTGCATAGTCTCTATGAGTGAGGACCAACCTGATTACACCTAATAGCCACATAGAGAGCCTTGGTGTGGTGTTGTAGGATAAGCACTGGACTAGTAACTGCAGGGTCCACAGTTCAAACCCACCAGCCTCTCTTGGAAAACCTATATAGCATTGCTGTGAGTCAGAACCACTTGATGGCACAACAACAACAACAGTATGTGTAAGTGGAGGTCCTGCTATGACACTGTAGCACTGAACTGCTACCCTATTAGCAAAGTTGGTGGTTCAGCCCACCACCTACTCCTTGGAAACACTATACAGGGTCACTGTAAGTCAGAACTTACTTGGCAGCAATTAACAACAACAACAATGACATATGAGCAGCTGAGAACACTAGAGGAGATTAAGCAACTTCATTGACACAGAATTATCAACTTAATGTCAAGGCTGCCTTTGTAACATGGGACACTTATATGCCTCTTCATTTTTATTTTTCACAGTTCTTTATTACTTAGTAGTATATTGTTCTAATTGTTTGCATTGAAGTTCTATTGGATTATAGTTTTACTTACAGATTTTTCTCTATCAAAACACAAAAAGTATATATATATACATATATTTTTAAAATGAACTGACTTTAATTATGTGGTTGAGAGTTTCACAGTGTCCCTCGGGAGATTTTAAGGGCTCTGTCTTATGTCACCAGGAGAAGAAATCAGTGATCTAAGAATTTTTGTGTATCTTAAAATTAATTACAGTGGTAATACAGTATTTTCAGGTTGTTTAGATGCAACGGCACGCTGACATTCACCTCTTACCAGCTGTGTTTCTCTGGTTCTCATAAACCTATGAATTCATTTATCTTTTCACCTGTTCTTGGTAAGAGAATCCTATGATTAGAGGAGTATAAAATAAAAAATAATAGCCATCAGTGCAAGAAATAAGGAGCCAGAGGCTCAAAGGCATCACCATGAAGGATCCTCTGTCAGTGACAGGCTGGAGATAGCAGACCAGGACCCTGTGGTTTGCATCTATGACAGAAAACCACATTTAAGCAAAGTTGTATTCTGAGATCCCAGCAATAAAAGCACAAATATTTCACCATTCTCCAATATTCCACCGTAGAGATTTGAAGGTTCGTGTTTTGAATCTAGCTGACCTCTCTTTGACTGGCCTTCAGGAGTCTACCTGGATGACCTCGAGGTCTCACATTCTCTGACTCAACCAGATAATGTTACTAGAGACCAGGCCTGCCCTTTAGAAAGCGTATCACTCTATCAGACTCTTCCAAAGTAGGTTCTGATGCTTTAAAGTGAAATATAGAAGATAGTCTCATGGTCCTAACTATGGCATCTAGGAACAGATTTTTTATTTCTTGTGAATAGTGGGAAAGATAAGTTTTGTTTTGTTTTTGCCATCAGCAGTCTGCTGCTTAGGGAACATGACTGTCTTTGACAAGTGTGATAGTTAAGGTTTTATGTCAGCTTGGCTGGAATAGGATTCTCAAGATTCCCTGCAGCATACTACCTTGAAGTGTCTGTTTTAAAAATAGATTTGTGGGCTTTCCCTACAAAATCTTTGCATATTGAACCTAGGAGTATTAATTTAAAAAAACAAAACAAAAACAAAGTAAAGCACATATTAAAATTTGAGAACTATTACTCTTAATGTACATTTTGGAGATTTGGCTTTCTTTCTGAGATAGATTCTATGAAATTTGTTCTGCAATTTGGTATTCTGGAAAGCTACTTTAAGATGTTGTGTTCTGCAGGTTGGGATCCTTCAACCATGTTTTGATCAAACTTCACCTATGGTAGTTAGAGAGTCCCTGGGTGGTACAAATGGTGAACATGTTCAGCTGCTCACCAAAAGACTAGCAGTGAGTCAACCCAGAGTTACCCTGGAAGAAAGGGCGAGTGACCTACTTTAGAAAAGTCATCTACTGAAACCCTATGGAACATAGTGCTACTGTGACCTGTGGGCTTTTCCACAAGTTGGAATTAACTCCATAGTAAATTGTAGCTGGCATAATTATGATGTACACGCACTTAGAGGGCCTCTATGGTATGGCATAATGGGTTAATGAGCCAGACTGCAAAGCTGTTTGAACTGCAAGGTCGGCAGTTCAAGCTCACCAGCCATTCCTCGGAAACCCTATATAGGGTCACTATGGGTCGGCACTGACTCGATGGCACTTCATAACAACAACAACACCAACAAGGGAACTGTTCAGACTCTTGGTGTGGTGCTGTAGGATAAGCACTTGACCACAAGGTTGGTTTGAATCACAAGGCCAGTGGTTCAAACTCATCAGGCATTTCTTGGAAACACTATACAGGGTCACTATGGGTCATAACTGACTCAATGGCACTTTACAACAACAGCAGGGAACTATTCACATCTCATAACCTAAATGTATTCTTGAATCAGTTTCCCATCAGAGCACAAGGGGGAGCTCAAAGATCAGAACATGGAACACAGGAGTTTTATCTAGAATCATTACAATTTTTTTTTTAGCTGAAGGACTGATTGAAGATTTCCCACTAATACTAAATGAATGTTAATCAAGTCAAAAGGCTACTTTTGAAGCAGACTTACTGTGCATGATTTGTTTTTTTTTTACTTTAAAATCTTGAGGGGAGAATGGGAGTTTCAGTGAGAAGTGTCATGGGCCAACTGCAAAAATCTCTGAGGGGAGGCTCTGACAGTTAGAAAGGGATGTCACCCTTCCGTGGCCAAGAATCTTAGCCACCCAGGCAAAGGTGACTTTGGCAGCAGTGATGTTGGTGGAGGCTCTGTATTCTTAGTGACCTGGGAAAATGTCCCAAACTCCCAAGTCCTGGGAAAATGAGAATCTTATAACTGAAAGTAAAAGAGGCAGAAAGAAAGAATTATGTGTTCTCTGTATGTCTCAGGTGAAATAGAGAGGGAAGCCAAATTATCTAGAGTACCTATTAATCTGCAATTAGCACAGCTAACCTGTCCATTTGGTTGAGCAGCTGTAGTTGGTTTCTGGTTTCACTAAGTGTCTGGAGGATGTGAGACAATTTAAGTAAAAAGTCATCAGCATGATGTAGATGAAATTTGAGAGTTGCAGTACTCTGGTAGTGTAGTGGTTACGAATCGGGCTGCGAACCTTAAGGCCAGCAGTTCGAAACTACCAGCTATTCCACGGGAGAAAGATGAGGCTTCCTGCTCCCATAAAGATTTACAGCCTCGGAAACCCTGTACAGGGTCGCTATGGGTCGGAACCAACTCGAAGGCACATAACAACAACACAACAACAAGTACACTTTTAAGATCATCTAGTACAGTTTCTACTTTCAGTAGCAAATAAACTTCTAATATAACAAACCACTGTTGTTGTGTGCTTTCGAGTCAGTTCCAACCCACAGTGACATTGTATAGTTTCTGAGGAATGGTTGGAAACTTGAACTGCCAACCTTACCATTCAAACTGAATTTGCAGTCCAGTACAATAACTTACAGCACCACACTAGAACTCCCATATTCTTCTTAAATAGAGGCCCTTCCAATTTCCTCTTTTTTCCCTTAAGAACAAGGCAGATAGGAGAAGATTTAGGCAGATTTGCATGGACTAAATGGAACAGAGGTAAATACTGATGTATACTCAACCTTGGAACAAAAGGATTCAGTGATACAGGGATTGAGGCGTAGTCTGAATGGGTAAAAGAGGGGAAGTAATGTTAAGATGCTTGACTGTCTTACAAATCTTGCTTTCCCTAGTCTATTATTGTAAAATAGACATTTGAGAGGGAGAGAAAGGAAGAGCCAGAACCATGAATATAGAAAGCTTGTAAGCCAGTCTTCAGCCTATAACTGGAACTTGCCCAATGAAAGAGACTTCCTGTGGAGCCGTTGTAGTATATAAGACCTAAGGTAGAATACTGATACCCATCCAGAATCTTCTGAGGTGGGAGATTTCCACTTGTAAAGACAAGCAGACCAGCCTGGAGCAGTGAGGGGAACAGAAGATACTTCTTGAAAGAAAGACCAGCAGGAAAAATCAAAAACAAAAATGGCAGTCTGATTGACTACTACAAGAACAAGCAAATTGTTCACTGGGGAACCATCAAGGCAAGCAATCAAGTCTCTTCAGGGCAAACCACTTCCCAAGACTGAAACTCAAAGGGAGTACACAAGCAGGCATGTAATCTTGCTGGCGACAATGTTGGTGTACCGATGAGGGGAAATGTTGGAAAAGCAGCAATGAAGATATGGGCTGAGTAGGACTACATTCAATAGACTCCTGTCAACCTAGAGTGAGACCTGGTTGGCCAGCAGTATGGTGAGACGTGGGCACTCCT